TACCACCCTTTGCAGGCAGAAGGTTCCTGCAGACCACAGGACTTTGGCTGGACCGGTGCCAAGGTCAAGAGTGGGATGACCGATGACATTCGGTTAGAGTGTGTCAGCCGGGTAAATAGCGTTAGTGTTGATGAAATGCATGCTGCATTGGGGCATTTGAGCTTTAGGAAGTGCAAGGCTTTAGTCTCTGAGGCCTGGGACAGAGCACAGCAACTGGAGGACGAGATCAGAAGAGAGGCAGAGGAGGAGCTCTCCCTCCCTGTGGCTCCACACAGAGATGGCTTCAGCCTCGCTCAAGTCACACCTTGTGAACCATGGTGAGAATTCAGCCTCTGTGGGTTTCTTTTTTGGTTTTATTTATACTATATTTAGGTCATGTATCTAAAAACAAAATCTCAATAATACATTGTAACAAGAAGCAATATTAACCCACGTTTTTACACACACATCTATCTATCTATCTATCTATCTATCTATCTATCTATCTATCTATCTATCTATCTATCTATCTCAAAATGCATTATGAATTTCTTTCTTCTGCTGAACACAAGGGGAAGATATTTTGAAGAATGTCGGTAACCAGACAGTTGATGTACCCCATAGACTTGATGAGAGAATTTAAATTAAGTGAACTATTCCTTTAAGTTCAAAATCATTAATTAATTAATTTAAAAAGTTATATATGAAAATGTTGTGTATATACCCTTTACAATAAGGTCTCATTTGTTAACATTAGCTATTGTATTAATTCACATGAACTGATAATCCAGCTGTTCATTGTTTGTTAATGTTAGTTCACAGTGCATGAACTTATGTTAACAAATACAACATTTGATTTTAATAATGTATTATTAAATGTTGAAATGAACATTAACTAAGATGAATAATAATAACTGTAGATGTATTGTTAATAAGTAGTTCATGTTAACTAATGTAGATAACTAATGAAACCTTATTGCAAAGTAGTATATCAAAATGCCAATGCTGAAACTTTCCTGAAAGTTTTTTCCCCCCCACTAAATTTTATTAAAATATGTATTTATGCTCTTAAACCTGCAAGTTGTGAGACAAGGATTGTGAAACTAGTTTAATGACAGTCTTTGGAAAACCAAAAAAATCGTTTTTAAACGTAACACAAATATTCTATATACCCATCCCTTGTCTCAATGTTTCATGTTTCCACTGACCTCTCTGCCCTGTGAGGTGGTTTATACACAACGTGCTGTAAGGTTGTGTTCATTTTGGTTTGTACAGGCTGATGGAGAGGAGAAGTGAGGTGATGAAGTCGCTGCTCTCCACCATGTCAGCGGGTACACTGGGAAACCGGACAGCAGTGGCTCTGGACTATCTCCCCTCTCTGCGCGCCATCTGTAGGTCAGAGAGACTGAAGGAGCAGGGAAAGATCAAACGCAGGTGAGAGATATTAGATACATTTATAGACTGCAGTGAACATGTCATTAGTGGTTACAAAATTACACAGAACTGTCTAATTATAGTGAGTTTTTTTTTTTTTGCCATATTAATGATTTATTAATATGAATCATATTATACGGTTAATTATAGCATGCATCATGTGCTTCCACTAGTACACTTTGCTGTATTTGAAATGGGCATTAAGACTGTATTATTAAGACTGTATTAGTGTTTCCATGAATAAAAAGTCAAGGAAATGGATTATTTAAAGGGTTAGTTCACCCAAAAATGAAAATTAAGTCATTAATTACTCACCCCCATGCTGTTCCAACCCCGTAAGACCTTCGTTCATCTTCGGAACACAAATAAAGATATTTTTTATTGAATCTGAGAGATGGATCAGTCCTCCATAGACTGCCTAAGGGACTGGCTCTTGACGGCCCATAAAGTCATTAAAGAAAAGGTTTAAATATTCCATGTGCCTACAGCGGCTCAATTATAAGTTTATCAAGCGACGAGAATACTTTTTGTGCGAAAAAAACATAAATAACGACTTTATTCCACTATTCCATTACTTCCTTATGGGCGCATGCGCGAGAACTGAGACGAGGACGTTCTCCTTCGACTACTTCTTGTTACCGGCTGCTCCGCTTAGGAGTATTACCGCCACCTATCGTATAAGATGATGTGCTGATATAGCTGGAAGCGCAAAACTTTCTGTTTACAAGCAGAGGAAGATGCGCGCTGTACATACGCTTTTCAATTAGCGTATTTTCCGCACTATAAGGTGCACTTAAAAGCCTTTAATCTTCTCAAAAAACGACAGTATTCCTTATAATCCAGAGCGCCTTATATATGGATCATCATTTTATACGGTAGGTGGCGGTAATACTCCTAAGTGGTGAGCAGCCGGTAACAAAAAGTAGTCGAAGGAGAAGAACGTCCTCGTCTCAGTTCTCGCGCATGCACCCATAAGGAAGTAATAGAATAGTCGAATTAAGTCGTTATTTATGTTTTTTTTTCGCACAAAAAGTATTCTCGTCGCTTGATAAACTTATAATTGAGCCGCTGTAGGCACATGGAATATTTAAACCTTTTCTTTAATGACTTTATGGGCCGTCAAGAGCCAGTCCCTTAGGCAGTCTATGGAGGACTGATCCAGCTCTCAGATTCAATCAAAAATATCTTTATTTGTGTTCCGAAGATGAACGAAGGTCTTACGGGGCTGGAACAGCATGGGGGTGAGTAATTAATGACTTAATTTTCATTTTTGGGTGAACTAACCCTTTAAGAGCTATGGAAACCCTGTGACAGGTTAAGAGAGAAATATTTTGTTTTAAAATAGTCTGCTGTACACTATTGTCTTGACCACCCTGAAAGCCTGAAATGTCTCAAATGCATGACACACCCTTGTTTCTTGGACAAGAGACCCTGTTCTTTGGTACGCTCCCAATGTGAGATCATTTCTGGTTATTCAAATACCACACTGAATAAGTGACAATGTAAGTGGGGTAAAGGGTAATTCTCATGAAGGTGAATTGTCTCATGAAGGTTGAACACTATATTTGATAACTAACCACTGTTTTACAGTCTGAACTTGCATCTCATAAATATGTTTAGTACCCGATGCATTTTTTTTTTTTTTTTTTTTTTTTTTTTGCTGAACTGACAGTGTCGAAATTCAACTTGGTCAGAGTGCACAGGTCTAAAAACAAAATGCAGTGGAGGGACAGGATGTGGCTTTTGCAAAGCTTAGATGTGGAATGAGGTCACAATTAACAGATTAAACAGTTTTGTTTCTTGTTTATGTCTTCTTTGATTATTTTACGGTTTGTTGACTTGTTTTAAATGATCACATTCACTTGTCTTGTAGTGGCAAAACTACTCTAAAGATCCATATTTAACTAAATGATCATTGTGTTGTGTTTTCCCCTACTTTTACAGGTTCTTGCACTATTTGGATGGAATACACTTCACTCTGCCTAAAAACACAGCGGAGTTCCTGGCTTCAGAGTTCCCTTAAATTGCACGCATCTTTAGGCAGCTGCTTAAGGGCTGCTGGTGAATATGCATTTGTACAGTAATATATACTCAGAAGGAGTGTGGTTTTATGTTGTTTTAGACCTCACATATTTGTACTGATGTTTTATTTTAAATTTGCTGATCCTTTATGTTTTGTACTTTTTGTCATGGATCTTCCAAAGTTTTATCAAGTAATAAATGTGGATTTGCTATTTGCCAGCAAACATGTTTTTTTTTTTTTTTTCAAAATGTATATGTAAATTTCAAGAGCTCTGTAAACAGAATTAGTGTAAAGGTTGTGTAAAGGTTGTCTCCCCCAGCCCCCCCCCACACACACACACACACATACACTACTACCACCACCACAAACCATATTTCATATTTTATCATGAGCAGTGGTGGAGGAAGTACTGAATCTCAGTACTTAAGTAAAAGTACAAATACCCAGATAAATATTTACTTTAGTAAAAGTAGAAGTAACACAATGACAACCATACTTAAGTAAAAAGTAAAAAGTACTTTATTTTAAATGTACTTTAAGTATTAAAAGTAAAAGTACTTGCATAACAATTTATTATCTTAATATCTATTTTCTAATGATTAATAAAACATTTAGTTTTAACTCATTCAACCTAATAGCCTACTCCTATAATGATGTTCAATAATGATGGAAAAAAATGTCACCATTTCTGAAACAAGCTTGAAATTAGGCAATATCATGCTTATCCTTACTGTATGTTAATAACTATGCTTGGCAGTAAACGCGATTCATTTATGGTGTAATTCTGAACCTCTTGGCTTGCCATAATCCTAACCAAACCAAACATATATTACACACGGTGTGTTTCCTATGCACGTAAAAACAAATTTTCGCGTATGAGTTGCATGATAAACACTGCGTGTGAGACGCATTTAGTGTGACCGGGTTAATATACTGTATCTATGGCAACCAAACGTCACTGGTGAGACAAACGTGCAACGAACGGACGGTCAGATTACGTTTTGGCAGGGGAAAAACTGATCAGAAAATGTAACGAAAATGTAACAGAAGTTGTAGAAATGTAGTGGAGTAGAAAGTATAATAATTGCTGCAAAATGTAACGAAGTAAAAGTAAAAAGTAGGCACTATTTATTCTACTTAAGTAAAGTAAAGATACGTGAAAAATGTACTTAAGTAAAGTAACAAAGTATTTGTACTTCGTTACATTCCACCACTGATCATGAGACGATAGACCTTACATTGTTTTCGTGAAACTTCAACTCATGAAGCACACTTTTCAGTTCCACATCTCCTAAATTGTAATTGTACTAGCTAGGGAAGAATATTATAGTTGTTGGCGCCTATGATTTAACATATTTATGAGTGATTTTGTCATGTTTTGTTTGGTACTAATGTAATATTTTATTATATGTAATTACGAAAAACTATCTACAGTGAGCCACTGTTTACAACTGGTTTACATTATTGCCCAATTATCCCCCTATATTTATTATTGAACAATGGATTATTAAATAGGTCACATATCTTAGGTGTAGCGCCGAGTTTGTTTTCTCCAGGAAGTGAACTTGAAGGGGGGTCTAATGTAGCCTATGCTTACGGAAGACCTCGGGTCCAGCTGCTGAGGCCGCAGCGTTTTGTCGCGTTGAAGCGCATTGTGAGTTTCGGATCTGACGCGACCGGTGTGCAGGGGAAACTTACAGAACAGTTTTAGGTGACTGAAATATACCGCGAAACCGCACCCTCCTGGATAACCAACGCGTAAAGAGACAGATAGAGAGTTGAAACTACAACCTGTATGTGTTTCAAAGCATTTTGCCTATGGCAAATCGGGAAAAGAACAAGAAGACACTTCTAGAGTTGGTAAAGCTACCAGAGAATAGCCGCTGTGCTGACTGTGGAGCTGCAGGTGAGTAGCACAGGAACAGCTCAACACACCATTCACTCACAGCCTGTAGTTATTTGAGTACTTTTACCGGGAATGGAAGTAAAATTATAAAGTTATCTGGCACGATATTTTGACACACTGTTCCTAGTTATAAGTTATAATTCTGTATTCATTGTAAAGTCATGGTATAGCCATGAGTAAACAGCTTATTGTCATAGTTTGATCAGTGTAAGTTAACTAACGTTAAAGCTTCTATAAACAAACTGCCATTTTTTTCGAAACCAGTACCATGTAGAATCTGTTGTATTTTTATTAAATATGTACGTGTGTGTATATATATATATATGTATAGCCTATGTATATGTATATATATGTATGTATGTTTATATACACACACAAAATGTATATTATTATTTTATATTAATGTATAAATGTATATTATTCTTATTTAGAATATATTATTATTTATTTATTTTTTACAGAATTTTTGTCAGGTGTTCCCACACGCCTTTACTCAAAAATTTACATGCCTTTTTGTGACTTTTCCATAAGTAGTCATTTGTGATTGCGTAATTAAGAAAAGATATTTAGTATAAAAATATGTATTTTTCAGTGCCTTTAATGAAAAATCACAATTTTTAAATGGTTTTCCATTAATGTGGGAACTTTATTTATCAATTGTTAGACTCACTAACTTACTCTCTGTTATCACTTGAAGATCCAGACTGGGCTTCATGTACTCTGGGAATATTTGTGTGTCTAAACTGTTCTGGAACTCATCGCAATCTTCCTACAATAAGTCGTATCAAGTCCATACGCTTAGACTTCTGGGATGATGAGCTTGTGCAGGTAAAAGGGAGCTTGTGAACTAAATGTTTTTAATGATAAGATATTGATTATTACTTGTCACTTTTTGCATAGTCACTGTTTTACATTTCAGCATCTAGTGGTTCCATTAAGTCTTGAATGTGAACCCTACACCATTTTGTTTCCTTTCAATGCATTTTCGGATGAGAAGTTCATGAAGGCCAATGGAAACCTTCCTGCCAAAAACCTCTATGAGAAATTTGTCCCTGTCTTTTATTATCAACCCCACACAGATGATTGCGAGTGAGTAGTCCTGGCTCTTCTACTGACTGAAAAGTCAAACTAAACACATTCATTTACAGCTGGAACACTCAATTTATTTCATAATGAAACAGATCTCTGATTTGGGAAGTAAAAAAAAAAAAGGGCTGATCAAGCGAACATCTTAGTGGCAAGAAAAAACGCTGTGTAACTGGGTGTCACAGTAACAGGAACTACTATTTCCACTAAAAGGGTATTGAAGTCCATTCCTTTGAGAAGTGTGGTCAGTTGTGTTCTCGATTCTTAATGCTTCATTGTGCATGTATTAGTTGAATATATGTTCATATCATACAAGTTCAATCTAATTTAGTCTTGTAAGTGTACTATAAACTGTAATTTATGACATTTATGCATCAATTGACTCCATCATGTAGTTCAACAAAATGCATTATATATGTGCACTGTATAGGGTCCTTAGAGAACAATGGATTCGAGCCAAATACGAAAGAATGGAGTTTACAGAGAAAAATACAGTAAGACCATACACAAAAGGTAATCCATTTCAGCTCCTAGAAGTTTTCTTTTAAAGTTTAAATCATTATAGTGTAAAAAAGTGTATTATTGAAGAAAATCAGCTCAGATCGACTGAGCAGCGAGTGAATCATTCCAAATGGCCCACACTTGAATAATAAAAATGATAGATTAATAACTGATATTATACTTAATGCATTCAGCTTTACTTCTAAGTCTGTTTTATCTGCTAATATTAATCTGTCAACAAAATTGTTTTGCCTGGCTCTAGGTGTCTATGAGGGCATGCTGTGGAAGAAAGGAAAGGATAATGGACAGTTTCTTGAGAGGAAGTTTGTTCTTTCAGTGAGCGATTTTACCCTCAAATACTACAAGGAGGATGTAAGAAAAAAAAACGTTTCATTGAGCAATGAAGTTTGTGCACCATTTAGAAATTATATTTTTTTAGTGAAACACTAAGCACATATTGAGAATAACTACAGAATATGACTTTTAAGACAATCAAAGCTATGCATACATCATCCAATATCCTTTTAACACAATACTAGCTCTGTTTTAAAATATTTGCCTTTGGTTGAACAGTGTATAGAATCAAATGAATATTAGGTGCACAATTCATTAAATAGTATCTGTGCTTGTCAGGAATCTAAGGGGCCAAAGGCTACTATTTCTGTGAAGGACCTGAATGCAACCTTCCAGCCTGAGAAGATAGGACATGCTCACGGCCTCCAGATCACCTACTGTGTGGATGATCACACCCGAAACCTTTTTGTTTACAATAAAAATGGTCAGGTAAATCTATTTTTTCAGCCTTTTTTCCTGCTTTGTTCCAAAAAAAATGTGCAGCTGTAGTGCACCTCATATTTAATGAGTTTGAATTGAACTTAATGAGTTTCAAAGGCAGCTTGTTCACTAAAGAGTATCTGCTCTGTAATTTCTCCATTTTAGGAGATTGTCAATTGGTTTAATGCCATTAGAGCTATTCGCTACGTCTACTTGAAAACAGCCTTTCCTACAGCTAGTGATAGAGATGTAAGTACTTTTTGTATACTTGCTTTTGACTTACCACATACCACATGTCTCCTTAGCGCTTTTAATTTGCTTTACAAAGTTTTTGAATTTCTCAAAAACACATTGAGCCTTCTTTTGTTGTAGCTTACATTACCACATAAAAAGGAAGTTCTGTAAGTTTCCCCTTTTCCGACTGATTTTACTTCCTAAAACCAGCAACAGCAAAAGGCCTGCCTTTTCTCCAATTTCACAACAAGAATGATCATCAGATAAACGCCCTACACCACAACAATGTTGACCGGATATTGATTTTTTTTTTTTTTTTTGAGTTTCTGGATCTCTAAACAAAAAACACATTTATTTTATTTTGGTTAACAAACAGAATGCTATATTGTTCTGTGATTGGTGCATCATCACAGAAAATCACTGTATATAAACATCCATGATATTTGTACTACATGTTCAACTCTAGTTTACATTTTGTGACTTATTGGTGAATAAGGCGCAGAGGCGAAATAGAGTTCCGCAGGGGAGTGGGGAGCTGGGCCCCCCTCTGGAAAAATTGTGTTCTACAGAGAAGGGCACTTTTGCTTGCACTATTAAAGGGGCAGGGGCTCAAGAACCCCAATCCCAACGAGCTGGTTGAGGAATGTAGGAGACATCACGGGCTTTATTTTGGTTTGAAATGTGCTGGAGACAGAGATGTATTCAGAAGTGCATTTTCAAAAGTGCTGGGTACAAACTTGTCAAACTGTGCAGCCTCTCTGTTTAACACGTATATAAATACATTGTTTTTAAAAATTTTGTTTGAGTTCTTCGATGGTCTAGTGGTAGATCTCTTGCCAAGCGAGTAATTTCACTTAAATTTCATTTGTAATTTCACTGGAATGAATAGAGTCTCTCCGTGACGGCGATAGATTGAAGAGCGTGTCCGAGTGAAGACTATGCGCGAGCCACAGAGAACACTGTATCCATGACACTGATAGTAGTGGACACGAGCGCTCAGCTTGAGTTCAAAAACAAAACATTTTGTGCTAGATCTCTTATTTAAGAGCAAACTAAATGAATGCTCTGCTAGTTAACTGGAGATATTTGACATCCGTGCCTCAATATTTCCAAAAGTGGTGGGTACAAAATGATGGTGTAGCAAGCCATTCGGACACAAGCCAGGGACTGATCACCCCCAGCTGGCTCGCCTGGGTGAAGGTGTCTGATGATCTAAGACCCAAAACACTCCATGACGACGTTCGTCGCCGATAATGTGCCCAATGTGTCTCAAGAAACTAGTAAAAGCACTGTGAAACATTTGTTAAAAAAAAATGTGTTGACCAGCACCCCCCATGTGTTTAGGGTTTATAATTTCTTTATCATTATCTTTATTTTACATTTTTGATTATATTTTACTTACTTACTTAATTACATTTTTTTTGTCTTAAGCTAATTCCATGGATAACCAGAAACTACCTGAAAGAGGGTTACATGGAGAAGACTGGCCCTCTGGTAAGTTTTCCTTTCTTTTTTTGTCCACAAAATGTTCTCTCTATTTTCATTATATGTATATTTAAAAATCTAGATTTTTTTGGTGTAGCAAGCAAGGTATTTGTAGTTTAAATCGCACAAACATTTAAAAGGATAGTTCACCCAAAAATGAAAATTCTGTCTTCATTAACTCACCCTAATGTCATTCCAAATCCTTAAGACCTTCGTTCATCTTTGGAACGCAAATAAAGATATTTTTGATAAAACCCGAGCGCTTTCGGGTCTCTTAATATACAGCAAAGTCTTCAAGGCCCAGGTAGATGGTAAACATACTGTTAAAATAGTCCAGGTGACTACAGTGGTTCAAATGTAATATTATGAAGTGACGAGAATACTTTTTGTGCGCAAAAAAAACTATTCAACAATTTATTTTCTTCGTTGTGTCAGCTCTCTCACGCTATTTGCATAGTAAACAGTCACACTACATCAGAACACCGGCTCCTGCATCAGCATCACATGCATGTGTTGTGGCGCTCACGTAAACAGCGTTGGCCAATAATTAGCTGGCATTCTGGCGTAGAATCGGAAGCACTGTACTGTGTTTACTACGCAAATAGCATAGGAAATCTGACACAGAAGAGAAGTAACACAGTAGTTATTTTGATGGGGTTTTTTTTCCTGCTCAGAGAAAGTATTCTCGTCTGTGTATTTTCGTCATTTTTGGTAACCCTTAATGATATATCATGCTATTTTTGTAAAACACTCCTTAAACACCGCTTTACACACTCACAAAAACTAAAACAGCACTACGTTAGGTCACTGTGTACATATCTGTATATTTCCACATCTGCATAGTTCTGCAGATTCTGTAACTATGTTTTTGAATTGTGTTATATTGACCTGCTGTCTCAGGAAAGTATAAAGCTTGTAGGGAAAAAAATATTCCTACCACTTATGTTGAGCATGTGACACATTTTGAACTTTAAACCTTTGAAATGAATTTAAAAGTGATTTGATCCTAAAACAAACAGCACTGACTCTTTGTTTATGGTTGAACAGCAGCGAGAGCCATTCAAGAAAAGATGGTTTATCTTGGATTCCCTGGACAGGAAACTACTCTATTTTAAAACACAACTGGTATGAATTGCATTGTTTTTTTTCCTTTCCTACTAAGTAAGTGTAGGCTGTGTTTCAGTTCAGCAAAAATCTAAACTTGAAACATATGGTAAGTGTAATCAGTTTAAAGTAATGTAATGTTGTTAATTTTCTTTTTATCCTAAAGGATGCCATTGAGCTTGGAGTTGTTTTTATTGGCTCAGAGGATCATGGATATTCAGTGAGAGAGTGTGTCCCTAAAGGGACAAGAGGCAACAAATGGAAGTGTGGGGTAATCGTGGAGACGCCGGATCGGCAGTTCGTCTTCATGTGTGAGCAAGAGCGAGATCAAAGAGAGTGGGTGGAGGCCTTGAAAACTGTCATCTCAAAACCTATGATGCCACAAGATTACACCAGTAAGATTACGTTACTCTCTATCAAGTGTGTTAATTAAATATAACAAATATAAAAAAAAATAATACTCTATCTCTTTTCAGCCGAAGCCAATATTCGTAGACGGAGGTGAACACAATGGCTGGATTGGATAATAAGCTCAGAGAAGCTGGACACATGGACTCTGTCACTAAATCTTAAAATGAAACCAGATATTCTGGGTGAAACAATGGGTAATATTTGAGTCCCAGAAATGATGAACTCAACGGGAACCTTAGAAGAATGTCACTTTTGGGCATTGTTTCTAACAAGCAGTTAAAAAATATTCCCACGTGGTCCATTTTGGGATGTGAAACCAATCTGAGAAGATTGCTGTAGGTCAGATGTGGATGAACCACCTGGTTGAGCTCTCTGAGGAGCAGAAATTATATGAAGATGGATAAGATCTTGACTCAAAACAAGGAGACATTCTGAGCCTTGACCAAGAAGTGAATCTCATTTTAGGCTTATGTGAGAGAACTGAATTAGACGCACATGTGACAGTGAGTCCACACGCAGGAGCTGAGACACAAAATAGAGGCTAAAAATAAGGAATTATGGCTGTACAGAAATGGAGATTGCAAGTGACATGGAGTGTGTGAGGAAAATGATCATTGTAGAACACAGGTTTCATTTAACTGACATTTGGACACTTTTTGTTTTCTGATTTATAATAATCATATGGGCGACTGAACAAAGCAGAATTATGTTGATGTTCACAATTCTTCAATTTTGTTTATATTAAAATCTTCTATCTGAAATTTTCTATCATCATTGATTTTTTTGTTTCATAGACTAACAAAATTAGCAGTATGTTGATAGTAATATGTATTGAACCCTTATGAAACACAAATATATTGCAATATACTACAATTTATATTGCAATACATTAGAAAATATATTTAAATGCATCAGAAACTTCCTCATACATTTGAAAATATATAACAATATATGGATGGACAACCTACTACTATATATTCATTCATATATATATATATATATAATATATGAAAACGGCAATAATTTCAGTATTGTCCCATATATTGCAATATATAACTTACATAGATATTATTATATAATATATCATATGATATATATTACTATGTATATTTCACAATATATGGAGACACATGAAATATATTGTCACATAATATATTGAGAAATCTATTTTTGCTGCATAAGGGAATGTATTAATCAATTTATATATTATATTTAAAATATTATGTATAATGTGTCTAGTATTTATTGTGAAGTACTAAGATACTTTATTAATCCTTCTCAGGAAATTAGATTTGTTACAGTAGCAGCATTCAGTCCTTGCAAACAGCCAACAGCGATCTATCTGCCTGACTGACTAAATTCCTAAAACAATACTTTAGCTCAAAACTAACTGTACCCTATAATATATTAGCTAAATCATTACCCATAGTAATAATACTAAAAACAACATTACTAAAACATATTCTTCCCTATTATAATAAGAAGAACACAGGTAAAAAAAAAATAGAAATCAGACAAAATACCACTTTCAGTAAGCAGTTTCACAAATAATAGTGACTTTAGAGCACATCATTCTTGGCAAAGAACTGTGTAATATTTTTCTGCGTGGCCAGGCACGTTTTTCGGTTTTTCCTTTCTGCGGGGGAAATGTGACACGCGTTTCCTCTCCAGTCCTACAGGAGACGGTATAACATTTTAACTACGAATGTTGTAATCAAAAAATGTCAGCGCAAGGAGATTCGCGTTTGTCCGCAATTGTGTTCCGTAGTTACCGGTTTTTATTGGAGGTCAGCCGCCTCTGGCGTGAGCTTGAAATGTGAACCCAGAAATGTCATCAAGTGAATCTGAACTAAGCAAGCAGTGCCTTCATACCCGTGGAAACCCTTTTTTCTCAATGGCACGAATCTCGCCTGTGTGTGTTAAACTGTTGTGAACAGAAGTTTTAGACCGAGGCAGACAGAATCCGTCCGGTGGATCCGTCCGGTTTGCCCTACACAGGCCCGCCTTATTACATATAGCAGCAGGATCAATGATCCACGACAAAGGACTTGTTTAATATTTATTTTGATCACATTAAAGTTGCAACGATGAGAAAGGACGTGAGGATATTACTAGTCGGAGAACGTAAGTGAATCAATTCCATGTTTTCCTGGTTTATTGTTTGTTATCTGTCTGCAGTTGCTGAAGTGATTCGCACATCTCTTTAACGTTAGTTAGTCAACATGGGCAGCTCTTCACTATTATTTGCAGAATAAACCCTTTCATTCTGTACAGAAATTCGCAAACAATTCTATTCAACCATTTGGGACAATATATATATTGACAAGTGAAGTTACTACGCTCTGTGTATGTTCTTAAACGTTGTCTACATAATCTTCCAACACGTTATATAAATCTATGTGCATGTCCATTGGAAGTACAATTACTGGGAAAACTTCAGTTTTTTAATCATCATAATTGACCAGACCAGCAAACCCTGACATGAAGAATGACACTAGTCCATCATTAATGATTTGTTGAAAATTTTAGTTAGATTCACCCTTGTTTATCAGGGTTATTTATAGTAGTTTCACGAGCAAGTGTCAGGCATTTGCTGTAGGAGCTGCCAAACTTCAGATGGGTCAGCCAAAATAGTACGTGTCCGTACAGCTCACCGATGCCAGAACATCAAGCTTCAGTGTTCAGACACCTTATAAATTGATATTTTAGCATCATCTTACAATATTCAGATAGTGACACCAACACTTTGAGAACATAACTGATCACAGGATAAGTTCATTTGTATTTTTAGAAATATCAGTACAAAATGTTAATAAAATATGTTTCTCAATGATACTAAAATACCACTGATCAGGACTCTTTTTTCAGCATTAGGATTTTAGGTTACAATTTATTGATGTTTATCCCCTTCTTTCAATCCCCTTTTTGGTTGTTTGCTAGTACATTTAAAATGGTCCTGTGGTATGAAATGGATTTTTTGAAAGTAGTCTTGCAATTTGAGGCCATAAAAGTGCAAATAGTACAATTCGGCTTTAACATTGTCAACAAATCGTGACAGGCATATTTCCGGAAATCATTTAGTGCTGTGAATAGATCTAGAATTTAACGGTCACTTTGGAAATTCTTTTCTTCACAGCCAAAGTGGGGAAGACCTCCCTGATCATGTCACTTGTCAGTGAGGAGTTCCCCGATGAGGTACTCATTAAACTAAGTTCATTTTATTAAGCCAATTTTATACTTGCCTAAATGCATTGCATTAGTTTGGTGTTTCTCACTTGTATTGTGCATCTCTTTGAAGGTTCCTCCCAGAGCCGAAGAGATCACTATTCCTGCTGATGTTACACCTGAGAGAGTGCCCACTCATATAGTGGACTATTCAGGTAAGGATGCATGATCACATATCTCTGTATGATGAGATTCATATAGCCAGCGCCACTGTTATTACCTCTGGTGTTTTGTGTGCTCTCATATTTATTTTTTATCCCACAGAAGCAGAACAGTCAGATGAGCAGCTTTACCAAGAAATAACAAAGGTGTGGCTTATTTTAGTCTTTTTGATAACACAATTTAGTTTGATTTTATTGTTTTTTCACCTCCCTAGCATTTTCTCTCTTCGTCACAGGCCAATGTTATATGCATCGTATATTCAGTAAACAACAAGAAATCTATCGAAAAGGTACGTTTTGTTTCCATGTATGCCATAGTAATTTTTCTTTCTTTCTGTAGTTACCAAATTAAATACATTTCTTGCTATTTAATTTCTGATAGTCTGAAAGGTTCTGTTGTGTCTCTTAATATTGGCTTCCCTGTAGGTGACAAGTCATTGGATTCCCCTCATCAATGAGAGGACGGATAAGGACAGCAGGTGTGTGGCTTCCTGCCAGGTTCTTGGAGGCCTCGGGCCTCTTGAATTTGCTTTGGTCTTTCTACATGGTTTTAAAAATAATAGTCTGTATTCTTCTGCAACAGAAAGATGTGGCTTTCAAATAATTATAATATATAATCTGTATTGAGATGTCATGTACAGGAAAAATGAGATGCACTGTATTTTTTTGGATGATTATATTTGCAAAATATAATTATGCAAATATTATATAATCATCTGGTAATAAATGCATGTCAATATTTATTTAACAGGCTGTTATTGTCAGTACAGCAAATATCATTAAACAATAACAAAGTTTCCATGTACACACGGCTTTATATACTGTAGTTTTTATAAATGTATTAATTTTATGACTTATTTACTCCGTCTTCCCCATGAAGATAGTCCTCCTGCTGATTGGCAATGAAAAAATTATAATCCATGTAACAATTGCTGCTTGTTTGAAATTCTGTTTGATGCCACAATGCCTCATATAAATTTAAATTCAAAGATTTTGTCTGAATTTGTAAAACATTTTAATCAGAGTTTCTTGTCACAGAGTACCATTGATCCTGGTGGGGAATAAATCTGACCTAGTGGAGCACAGCAGCATGGAGACCATCCTGCCCATCATGAACCAGTACTCTGACATTGAGACCTGTGTGGAGGTGAGAGATGCTCCCAGTCTGAAAAGTGTGATTTTGGTCTGAACGTATGTGATGATGTTCTGTACATGCCTCTGTGAGATGAGATGGAGTGTGTGTGCAGAGGGGCTGTAGACGACATTCTTTGGGTCATGTGTCTGTCACTTATTCATTATTTTAGTCTAAAAGGAGAGTCACAGAGCTCTCACACATACTGCAGGGTGCCTGCAATTTATTGCTTGATCTAAAAAAAGAAAAGTCATTGTCTCTCCCATATTAAAATGTGTTAAGTAAAATTCAAATGCGCTGTGCACCTGAGACGGGTCTCTCTGTAGGCAAGGGCGTGGTCAGCTGGTGCCTGCTTGCATCACAGGGCACCACAACTTCAATAGAAAAAATTTAATTGCAGTAGCCACCATTCAACCTGAAGAGGGCAGCACTCAGATGTTTTTACAATATATATTGTGGAATTAAAACACTTTATACTAGGGCTGTCAAACGATTAATCGCATCCAAAATAAAAGTTTGTGTTTACATAATATATGTGGGTGCACTGTGTATAATTATTTTATATATATAAATACACACACATGCTTGTATATATTTAAGAAATATTTTCATGTGTATACTGTATATAAATGTATATATAATTTATATGATATGTAAATATAAATATTTTATATATAAATAATATTATTTTCTTAAATATACATGCATGTGTGTGTATTTATATTTACAAAATAATTATACACAGTGCACCCACATATATTATGTAAACACAAACTTTTATTTTGGATGCAATTAATCGCGATTCATCTTTTGACAGCCCTACTTTATACCCAAATGTAAAAAAAATGACTTGAATCATTCAATGAAGTTATCACGTCACTTTGTTGGCCAAAACGTGGAAGTGAGTTAGCATTTTAGCACTCCTGGCTCCCTCTCTCTAAAGTCTATGGGATTTTTGAATGGATTTTTTGCTAAATCAAGATTTTTTTTTTTGCTAAACCTGAAATAAGGTCACGTTTATATATTTATTTTCACGTTTTGATCTATGACATAAAACAGACCAGTTATATAACCTGCTTGTGGTTTTTTAAAAACTTTATATAGGCTTCAAAATATATACATTTTGGATTAACTTGTAAAGATTATCTTGATAGACAAAACATGTAAGGGTCACAACTCTTTGTTGAACACAGATTTTATTTTTCGGGATTTTTTATTTTTCCAAAGGTCTATGGTGAAAATG